AACTCGTCGAATCTGACTTTCTTTAGAGGTTTGGTGAATATGTCAACTATTTGTACTTCTGTCTTGCAATGCTTTATCTCCAGCTTCCCTTTGTTGACTTGATCTCTCAAAAACTGATATCTTCTTTCTATGTGCTTACTTCGACCATGACACACTGCGTGATTCACCAGGTCAATAGCTGACTTGTTATTGACAAACAACTCTTCTTAGGTTCCGTTATCTTGAGTTCTTCAAGTAACATTATGATCTATATTGCTTGGCATGCAACATATGATGCAACCACATATTTCGCTTCACATGATGACAAAGCCACAATTCTTTCCTTCCTCGAACTCCAAGAGATTGGAGCACCTTTTATCATGAATATGTAGTCTGCAGTACTTTTCTCTTCATCTTGATCTCCATTCAAATCTGAGTTAGTGTATCCATGAACTTTGACATATGTGTCATTCTTCGACTTCTTTGGCAATAACACATTGTGATCAATTGTTCCCTTTATGTATCTCAAGACTCTCTTTACTGCAATGAGATGACATTCTTGGGGTTTCTCCATAAATTGACTAAAAAATCTGACACTTTGACAAATATCGGTCTATTATTGCAAAGATATCTCAAGGATCCAATAATTTATTAGTATAGGGTCAAACTTACAAACTCATCATTCATTTCTTTTTTCAACTTCGCTCTAGTTTCTAATGGAGTGACAGTTGCATTAGAGTTGCTCATATTGAACCCCTTCAATATATCTTTGGCATATTTCATTTGATGCAAGAATACTCATTCTTCAGTATCTTTGAATTCCATCCCTGGGAAATATGAAAGATTCCCTAAGTCAGACATTTAAAAATCTTGCATTAGTTTCGACTTTACTTTCATTATCTCAGCTTCGTCTGCTCCAGTAATGAGTAAGTCATCTACATAGAGGCATAAAATGATTTGACTGACATTGTTGACATCATTTACATACACTCCATGTTCAGAGACACACTTTGTGAAACCTACTTCGATTAGGAAGTTATCTATTCTCTTATTCCAAGCTCTAGAGGCTTGTTTCAAACCATAGAGAGCCTTCCTTAATCTATAAACCTTCGACTCCTGCCATTTGATGTTGAATGCTGGTGGTTGAGTAACATATACCTCTTTTTCCAATGAACTTTTCAAAAATGATGACTTTACATCCAACTAACGTATCTTCCATCCTCTATATGCTGATGTTGAAACCACAATTATGATTGTTTTATCCTTGCAACACGCACATAGACTTTGCCAAAGTCGATACCAAGTTTTTGTAGAAAACCTCTCGCCACCAATCTTGCTTTATACTTTGTGATCTCACCATTTGGCCTTCGTTTCACCTTGTAGATCCACTTTACATTGATTGACTTCTTATGAGTTCTTTCGACAAGCTCTCAGGTCTTGTTCTTCTCAATAGCTCTAAGTTCTTTTTTCATGGCTTCACACCAATTTGAATTATTCATGGCTTCATTCAAGTCAATTGGTTCTGCTTCAGCCATCATCATGGCTTCTTTGATTAAATCACCATTTACATCAACTTCTTAATCTGTAAATGTTTCATATCCAGCTAGCCTTGTCGACTCAGTTCTTATTCTTATTGACCTTATTTCATTCTGCGCACGTGGTTCTTCATTTTGACTGGTTGAAGCATCACCTTGTTCATTTAGACTCGTTGAAGCTTCATTCTATTGATCTTCTTTGAACACAATTGTGATCGTGTCTGATTACTATAGAACTGAACCTTGACTCTAGTCCCACCCCTTGCTTTCATCCACAAGAACATCTCTACTGATCACTAGTTTATCTTTGTTTGGAAAATACAACTTGTATGCACCAATCAAATGATAACCTATAAACACCATTATCTCACTTTGATCATCCAGCTTCTTTCTCAATTGTTCAGGTACATGCCTGATGCACATTGATTCAAAAACTCTAAGATGACTCACATTTGGCTTCGACCCTGTCCAAGCGTCATAAGGTGTTTTTCCGACCATCTTCTTTATTGGACACCTGTTTAGAATGTATACTACTGTCGAAGCTGCTTCAGCCTAAAATCTCTTAGGCATATCTTTAGCTTTCAACATATTTCTTATCATGTTCAATATACTTCTATTCTTTCTCTTAGTTATGCCATTATGCTGAGGTGTATAGGGTGCAATAACCTCATGCTTTATACATTCCTCATTTCAAAATCTAGCAAATTCAGTAGAAGTATATTCACCACCTCCATTAGTTCTCAACTTCTTCAATTTGCATCCACTTTGTTTCTCAGCATGCAACTTGAACATCTTGAACTGTGTGAACACCTTACTCTTTCTTTCAATAAGGTAAATCCACATATGTCTGGTGAATTCATCAATGAAAGTAAAGAAATACTTGTTACCTCTATTTGACTTTACTTCAAAAGGTCCACACACATCAGAATGAACCAGCTCTAGTTTTTTCTTTAATTTCATGGGCAAGTAATGTTTGAATGCCTTCCTCGCCTGCTTTGATTTGCAACATTCCTCATACACCTGCTTAGTTCTTTCACATAAGGCAACCCAAACACCATCCTTTTTTGATTGAGTATGCATAAACTTCTAAAGTTTAGATGTCCATACTTGTTGTGCCGTAGTCAAATCTTGTCTTCTTCTGTAGTTGAAGCAAGACATTTATGATCTGATGTGTTGAGTTCAACTTTGAAGGTTTTATTTTCCGCCAATGTTACTTTCATTATTAGCCTCCATCAACCATATATACCTTCGTCTGATTGATTTACAACTTCATATAGAAACCTTTTACAAGTAATTAACCAACACTTATCAAGTTAATTATCATATAAGGTACATATAGCACTTCAGTGATAGTGGCCTTTCGACCATCCTTTCTGACAATTGAAATATCTCCTTTACCACCTGATATTATGTGTCTTCCATCTGAAAACTTCATCACCTTTTTGACTGATTCATCTAACTTTGTAAACCAGTTTTTATTTCCAGTCATGTGGTTATTGCATCCTGAATTCAGATACCACATGTTGTTTTTCTCAGTGTTCGACTGTGTGTTGACCATCAACAAACATCATCATAATCACTATCTCCAGCTCGTGCATATTAAACTTCATCACTATCTTTCACCTTGATGCTTTCTTTCTTCGACATTCTCGAGCATTGTAACCAAAACCTTAACAATTGTAACACTGCATCTCGTTTGTGTCAACTTTCTTCCCATAATACTTTTTGCCCACACCTTTATTGATCGAATCAGTATTCTTGCTTGACTTCTCATCACTAGCAAGATTTTTTGGCTGCTTCGAATTCTCTTTTCCAGCTTTCTTGTTGAATCTTGATTGCAATGTTTGTTCAACCACCTTCTCTCTTTCCGAGTTTCTTTGCTTCAACCTCATCTCATGAGCTTCTAATGAAGCTTGAAGTTCTTCTAACTTAATTTTAGATAGATTTTTTGCCTCTTCGATTGTCACAACAATGTAATCAAAATTTGAAGTCAAAGATCTTAACACTTTCTCAATCTTCTGTAGATCCGTAACCGATTCACCATATTCCTTCATCTGGTTTGTTAGCGTAACAATTCTTGAGAAATATGCAGAAATTGATTCATCTTCTTTCATTTGAATCATCTCGTATTGCTTCCTTAGCGTCTGAAACCTCACCATTGATATTTTTCTCCTTTGAAAACCGGTAGATTCATTGGAAACTACATTGATGTTGCTGTTCTATTTGCCATTAGATTCTCTCTGAATCACAACCGAGCTCTGTGATACCAATTTGTTGGAACAAAGGGATTTCAAGAAAGATGATTTATGAAAGAGGAAAAGAAAGAATAAGATATATATATATATATATATATATATATATATATATATATATATATATATATATATATATATATATATATATATATATATATATATATATATATATATATATATATATATATATAAATATATATATATAGAGAGAGAGACTCAGAGAGAGATATTTAAAGTTTGTTATGATTCTAATTGATTGTGATTGCATTGATTGTTGTTGAAAGTACAAACTAACAAGTCCTTTATATAATCATACAATACCCAGGCTCAATTTGACAATACATGTTATAACCCAAAAACATGCTTTCGAGACACTATTATAGCTGTTGTATTCGATTTTATTGAATACAGCTTACAACCTATACAACAAACTATTTCGACATATATCTTATATCCTTTAACATTTCGATTGAATAAAAATTATACTATCTAACAATTACAAATAGTTATTTGCACTTTATTTCTATTTTTATAAAAATATTTATACTCACCTATTATCTTAGGAATAAAAGTATGAGAATGTGAGAGTTATTTTATCAGAAAATAAATATTTTAACTCTAAAACAAATCTACCAAATAACTTTTTTTTAAGTAACAAATAAATTCTATATTCAAAGATTAAGTTTTACAACTTTAAAATCAACAAATTTAAAAGTAGGTAGATCTTTAATATGTGTGTTCAACATTGCAAATTTATAATTAGTCTTTTATTAAGTCCCTATTAGGATTTTAAAAAACAGTGCACGATCCGAAAACAATTGTCACAAAACAGTATCGATATGGTAATTATAATCTTTATATACTATTCATATATATATATATATATATATATATATATATATATATATATATATATATATATATATATATATATATATATATATATATATATATATATATATATATATATATATATATAATTTAAAGAAAAACATGCAAAATTGGAATACTTGTTCCTCCATTTCCCGAAAAATATTCCAAAATTTTCTGGAGAAAATGGTCTTCATGACTTGGCAATCATTTTCAATCAATCCTACACCACAATCTTCATCGCTCCTACGACACAAAAACTCTTGAAGATCTTCAACCAAAACAATCAAAATCTCTCGACGTACATTTTCAAATCTATTTTTACTTCTAAACATTGAATTCTTCTGCATAACTTATTGAAATGGCGGAATCCACGGGCAAGGGATCCAAAAAGAAAATCGCAGTTTTGGAACACGAGCGAGACGCGTTAGCAACGGAGAACGCAAAGAAGAACGAAGAGATCAGTAAAATGAAGGAGGAGATCGAGAAATCACTCAAGGATTCGGAGGAATCAACGGCGGAGTTGGAGGCAGAGACAACGAGGCTTCTTAAAGAAATGGTGGAAACGGAAGTGGAGGTGGAGAAACTGAGAAAGATTGTAGAAGAAAAAGAACACAAGATTGATGTAATTGAAAAAGAAGGAAAAGAGTTGAGACAGGAGAATGGTGAGATGGAAATGAAGGTTAGAGATTTGGAGAGAAAAATAGGAGTTAGTGAAATGAGAGAAGCTGAAGAGAATAGTAAGAGAGTTAGGGTTGAGGAAGAGATGAAGGAAAAAGTTGATGAAAAAAGTAGACAGGTTGAGGAATTGGAGAATGTTGTTAGAGAGAAAAAAACTGAGTTAGAAAAATGGTTAAAAGAGAATAGGAATTTGGAAGAGAAAGTTAGGGTTTTGGAATTTAGTTTAATGAATATGAATGTGAAGGAGGATGAGATGGAGATGAGTTGGCCTATTGTAGCAGCTGGATCTGTAGGAGGGATGGCTATGGTGGCTGTTTTGATACGTTTCTTATTTGGGAAAAAGAGATGAGAAAGTGTTTGTGAGATTGAATCATTCAATTTCAATGGAATGATGAAGAATTTTTAAGGTTTTGGAGTTTCTAACTATGATTCAAATTTTTGTAGTTATTAGAGTTTTAGAATGTTTTTTTTTGTTGTTATATTGTATTTGGGAGCTATGGATTTTGTTTTGGTTTATGGTACTTATTTTGTTTTTCATTGCTAGATGGTTGTTGCACTGAGAGAATTGAATCATTTTGTTTTGTGATTAACACGAAATATTAGTTAGTTTATAAGTCTTTGTTATATACCAACTACAATTGTTTCTATCGGATTTAGGATTTAATCACTACTAAACCATTCATTTTAGAATTTGAATAAAACGGAAATAGATTTCATGCAATATAAATAACAAAATTTTAAGTTTTATATAATAATATGAAAATTAATTATTACGAAAATGAGTTTTAACAACGGTTGAATTATGAATATAATCACACCGGTTCATGCATTGTTATGTAACATGTTATTGTATATGTATTATTTTCAATCACGGTTTAACGACCGTCGTAGAAAACTGAATAGCGTGTGCCTTATAACAATGGTTAAGAGTAAAAACCGTTGTGATATTGTTTATGAATAAATTTTAAACGTATCGTACCAAAATCAATAATACACCATTTGTAAACTAATATCAAAATCATTATTGCATCAAAATATATGTAAGAAGGAATATCAAAGAATGGAAAATAAAATTTGAAAATACAAAGATATATAATTATTCAACCGCTCGACGTTGGCAGGAACCCTTCCAACTTCTAAGACAAGAGAAAGCGTATAGAATTAAATAACCAATAATTAGCACACTAGCTTGACATTCATGAAATCTTTCCAACTTCCAAGAGAAGATGAAGAATCAGAAGAAATAATATAAAAACGAGAGAACACAAAACCAACTTCATCGAAAGGAACCAAAATGAGTTCTCATGCTCAAGCTATGAACAATGCCGAGAATCAATATGTTGTTGTTGTAGAGGGTATTGTGGTGCAAAACAATCCTCAAAATCAAGATGAGGAAATAAGTCGATCTTGTGCAACAGAACTGTACTTGAGAGCTCTCAGGGTGAGGAGGAGGAGGAGAAGAAGAAGAAGAAGAAGAAGAAGAAGGTTGATAAGGAAGATAATTTTTTCTCATCTGATGATGATGATGATGATGATGATGACTATGATTGGTCAAACTTCCTCTCAGCCAAAGGATTTATATTTGATTAAATTTATGTAATGAAAATTTATGTAATGAAAGTTTATATGTAATGAAAGGTTATCCACTTAAACTACCCTCTTAAATCTATCAACTAATATCTATCAAACAGATAACTAATTGAAAATCCAACAATTTGCGATGAACTTACTCGTAAGAAATCAACTTTTAGTTGAATTTCTGTCAAGTTCAGTGCATGTGTAGTTTCAACAATGGAATTCAACTAATATACTAACAAACAGATAACTAATTGAAATTTCAACTATTACATTTCATAACAAAGTAAATATTAAACATAAAGGAGGCAAGAAAACATAACATCTTCAAATTTCCATATAATCTCTCTGATTTCAGTTTGTTCTTCAAATTCTTGTTCTTCTTCTTTGGGTCATCATACATAACCTTCAAAATGGACATCTTCAACTCTGACTTCATAATGCTCCCATCTTTATTTCCACTTTTTTCTCCCATGTCTTCACCCCATATAAACAAATTACAGGCTTCATTACTCCTCCAAAATGGGCATCTCCAAAAAAGTCTTCCTTTATTTTTTCCCTTCTTGCATTGGTACGAAAATATACGACCATCACAACCATAAAAACTTCCAGATCGAGATTTTACAGAAGAAGAAGACATAGAAACACCTTTCGATGACTTTGTCTTCAAATGCGACATTGAAAGGAAACTAAACAACAAAAATATATTTTACGTATCGACGATGACGATGATGTTGGTGTTAGGATTGTTGTCTTCCTTCTTGACGATGATGACGGTGTTGGTGTTAGGGTTGTTTTGTCTTATTTCTTTTTTCAGAAGAAAAATGGATACTTATAGTGTTTAAAATATATAAAGAAGAGCATGTGTGTAACAACGATTTTAGAAAATAACCATAGTGATATCGCTGTTAATTTTTAGTTCCATATAAATAAAAATGAAAAGGTGCTCATTAACGTCAAAGTAATAAACTATTTGAGGGCGATAAGGTTCGAACCCATGAAACTTTCATTGGATCAACCACAGTTCTAACACCAAATGTTATTATACCATTTACAATTTTAATTAAAAAAATATAAAACTAATGTTAGCGCTAGAGTTTATACATGTTGAAACAACCGGCTGAACAATCATCTGATAAAATATCAATGAAATCACCATCGGACATTTTTTATCTCACAGGGAGGAAAAGTAAACATCAAGTAAATCTAAGAAGGGTGATATCAAGGTCGAACGAACGAGAAATTGGGTAAGAGAGTCTGTTACACGAGGGAAAGGTATTAGCACCTCACACGTCTGTAGTACTCTACGGTATCCACTTTTGTTGTCTATCTTATGGGTGTGTTTAATCTATTCTTAAGGCTAAAAGAAAATGAAAAGAAAGAATGCATGAAAAATAAAAGAGGAAATAATGTAGGGAAAATAAAAGGTGTGCTCGTTCGGGCTCTATCCCAATGCCTATGTATCCCTTTTAAGGAATCAGAGTAGCCGTAGTTCAGCTCACATGTTTCAGTTTGTTTTGTGTTTTTTAATTGAACAATGTTAGGTTAAAATCAATCCACTACGGCTCGACCTTTAGAGACTTACGACCTGTAGCGGAAGGGAACTAACATGTTATTAGAAAAGAAATGCCGATTGGCAAAAAGAAAGGTGTTGTTGGTTTGTATTTTTTACCTTGAGAAAGGATTTGAAAGTTTTAATTGTTTTATGATTTGCAAAGAAAAAGAAAAGAAAGGTTTTTGTTTTATTATGAAAAGGATGAAAAAGAAAAGAAAACATCTAAGGAAGACTAACCTAAATCTATCACTAATGTTATCACACAAATGATTGACCCTAAAGTTGAGTTTTGAAGGAGAAACTCTAACCTATATTGACATACATGGATAACAATCCTATTGTCTATCTCAAATCATTATCTATAGATGAAAAAATAATTCCTAAAGGAGCATAGCAAGGGTTTATCACCTAAAACTATGTCTATCTCGAACCATCATCTATAGTTGAGACGAGAGCTCCTAAGGGAACATGCCGAGGGTAAATCATCTCAAAACATGTACACAAAGATGAAATCAAGCAAATAAGACAACAAGCTCAAGAGAGATGGATCGAGAGAGCGCACACAATATGTCGCGAGTAGCACATGCTAACTTAAGTCAAATGCCTAACCATGATATAGACGATGAAGATAGGTATAAAATCAAGTAGGGATGCCTTAGCCAAGGGGTCATATCAACTAAGGCAAACAAGCGGGGAAAGGATAGAAGAAAATAGCACGGAGCATCAACGTAGAATAACACGAGCTCAAGACAAAATGTGGGGGATTGATTACAAATCCCTTTTCCACTTGACGACTCGATAACCATGATCTGCACAACTCCGAAGCATCGACGTACAACATGAGCTAAGGATGACACGAACTAGAATGTGTGGGGGCCGATTGCGGACCTTCCCCGCTTGCCTACTTTTGAGGACTTATTATTTATAATATAATGCGGGCACAAATGTAAACACACGTGCGTAATACCTACTTCAAAGGTAGGATTTTAAACAATCACAATTAGCATACAGAAAGTGGTACCTGCTACAGGTCTTTAAACAGATACTTCGAGCGCACGCTCTTTATTTCCTGCTTCCTACTTCTCATGATCTCTAGAAAGCAATAAAGAATTCAATAACAAATGCGGTAAAAAGGTATGAGAGAAACACCAAACGGATAACAATTTGTATCAAGCAAGCAAAAATAAGAGACCCGGAAAACTTCGAGCGCTAGCATCAACAAAGAAATTCAGTGAGAATATGCGTTGAAGCATCAATAAGCAAGATCAGAATATGTAGCGGACACAACCATATCACAAATTGTCTGCAGAAAATACAATTATGCAAACAAGAACGGAATGTGTATCGACGCATCCATATTTCTGAGCACCTGCAGAAAATACAACTATACAAGATACGGGGCACAAGACAATGGCATATGTGTCGAACTCAAAAAATGGACCATAAATCGAAAGTCCAACAAAGTTTTCCAATCAAATAATCGAGTAATAATTACATGACCGGAAACCATCCAAATGTACCTTGCACAATTAACACACATGTTAAAAATAACAAGGAAAATTAAATTATAAAAGAGTAGGAATAAATTTGGAGCAAACAATAGCCAAAGCAAGCCAAAGAAGTAAAAAGCAACAATTTGGAAAAGATGGGTCGACCACAACAGGGCATGCATCGACTCATGCCCAGGATTTTCCTCAGTTTGCATCGACTACTGGGTCAGCACGACACTTCCCGCAGGTGACCAAAATGTTTACGTTGACTCAAAAAGGCTATGCGTCGACTCATGCCCAGGATTTTCTCAGTTTGCATCAACCGCTAGGTCAACGCAACACTTCCCGCAGGTGACCAAAACTATTTGCGTCGACTCAAAAAAGCTATGCGTCGACTCAACTGCAGTCTTGTTCAATTGAAACTTTGAAGCAACATAACTTTTGGATCGAGTGTCCGTTTCACGCATGGTTCGAATCGTTGGAAAGCTTGAAAATCGTAGAATATCCGCGACACAAAATGGAAACCAAACCGATGAATCAACACACGAAAAAATCTCCTTGATCATTGCATAATTGAAGTATGAATTCAAAATCTGTTTTTATGAGTTTCGACATGTTTTGACATGTTGTTACCAGATTAGAAAACCAAATTCACACAAATTATATAATCATCATAGAAAAGAGGATTTATGTGCATTCAAAAATTGGTGATCTCATGCCTCAAGGCCA